GATCACTCATAGATACAGTAAATCCCAAAGAAATGTTTCAGTATACTGCAAGAGGAACCTGTAAAGACGGACTCTTTTCCGCACCTCAAAGTCCTCGCGCGTCATATTGAACTGTGGGGATGCAAGCTGTCCCATACCAACAACACCTAAATTCACAACGACTAACATCACCAGTGCTGAGCCTACTGTCGTCGTCCATTGCTGTGCACAAAGCGACGCTATGCTGCACATCCAACATGGATTCGCGTGTTCGGGATTATCTCGATGACAAACTCCAATCCACTGCCGATCTTGAGACCCTCGACGCTCTTCTGGAAAATGTTAGGAACCAGCAACAGCTTTTGAAGCAGCAATTAGAAGAAGCCAGAAGAGCTCATGACGATGCATCGAATAAGAGCAGGGACCATACGGCTAACGTGCAGCAAAAGGGGAAAGAATTTCAGAGGAAACAGGGCGATATTGACAGAAGACTTTTGATTGTGACCCAGTCTGAGGCCAGCGACGATGCTGCGAAAAAGTTTGACGCGAGCGTGGCGAGGCTGCAGCAGCTGGAAATCGCTTCAGGATACGTGGAGTTGCTAAAAGAGGTCAACACTTTGGTTGATGCATCCGTCTCGTTGCTGGGCAAATCGGACGATGCTGCGCTGGAGCCCTACCAGCGACTTCAACATCTAGTGAATAGTTTGGGCCCATTGCAAGAGGCCGCAGAAGGAGCGGCGCCACATCTGTTGGATCACATCGCCGTGCAGGCTGCAGAGCTTCGTGCTAAGATCTACAGCTCGTTTGCTGGAGATCTTGAAAGAACTTTGGGCAAGATGAGTTGGCCAAAGTCTGTGAGCACCGTGCCTATATCACTAGAGAAGGAATGGTCCGCCAACATCCGGAGGCTATTGGATCTTCAGAGACCAGAACTTGATGAGAGAGAGTCACGAAGCAGAGCACACCAGCTATCTGACGACCCACCACCACTGCTTGCTCTTGGAGTGATTGTTAAGCCTCTTGAGCAGCGCTTCACCTATCATTTCTATGGTAACAAGCCGACAAATCGTCTAGACAAGCCCGAATACTTTTTCTCTCACATCATTGATGTCATCACGTCACATACAGACTTCCTCCAGAACGCACTGCAGCCTCTACTAACACAGCAGTTCTACGGATCAGACTTGGCCTCAACACCCGCTTACATGGACGCCACGTCCGCTTTCATTACTGCGTTGCTGCCGATGGTTGAGCGTAAAGTCTCTAGCTTCGGCAGTCAGGTGGCGACGCGGCCTCAGCTCTTCAGTCACATGATGAACGAAGTCTTATCCTTCGATAAAACCCTTCAAGATACGTTTGCATACTCGCCCTCGTCGCCTACTCTTTCTTGGCGAGGTCTCTCATACTATCTCCTTGACCAAAAAGGATACTTTGACCGGTGGCTGGCTGTTGAACGAGACTTCGCGCTTTCAAGATATCAAAGCATCATCGAGTCGCCTGAAGCCGGTGAGCTGGACTACGATTCAGTCGACGCCTATGCGACAAAGCCAACAAAGGCTGCCATCCGAGTCAATGATTTACTTGAAACAATTACCGAACGATATCGTCCGATATCAAGTTTTGGCCAGAAACTGCGGTTTTTGATGGAAATCCAGATTGCAATTTTCGACCAGTTTCACGGACGATTGCATTCTGGACTGGAGGCATACCTCACGATGACTTCCTCGCTTGGACGTACTGTTCACGGTATCTCTCATTCGGATCAAGTTGATTTGCAAGGCGTGAAGGGGCTTGATCGAGTCTGTCGCGTGTTTGGCTCTTCCGAATACCTCGAGCACGCTATGCGAGACTGGAGTGATGATGTCTTCTTTCTCGAATTATGGGACGAGCTACAACATCGCGCAACGCATGGAGACACAATAAGCCGTAATCTTGGATCTCTAGGTGAGATACGCGAGCGGACAAGTGCTGCTGTTGGCATCCAGAACGGTAACGGCCTTCGGGAGGATGAGGTGCATGGCGCGTTGTTCGACGAGACAGCATCTGCGTACAAGCGTTTACGCATTAGGAGCGAAGGTATCATCACAGAGACGGTGATGTATAATACCAGAGAATCTATGCGTGCTTACTCCAAGGTTAACACATGGAGTTCTTTGGCCTCTTCTGCAGCTGGAGGATCTGTTACCGCTGAACTAGACCCACTATTACGTCTTCTAACGGACCAACTTGGCTTTCTTAGCAAGGCGCTCGGTAAGTCGCCTTTAAAAAGAGTTGGGCGTCAATTGTCCATTGGGATTCAAACCTATCTCTGGGACAATTGTCTCCTCCGTCATTCATACTCCACAGCGGGTGCTGCACAATATTCTGCAGACGTTGGCGCTGTCACCACGTTAATAGGCCGCTTTGTCGGGCGTGCCCAAGCAGAAGGCTGGATGAGAAAGATTCTAGACGGATGCGCATTGCTCAATCTGCCTGTTCGTACAGGTAGTGCCACGGACTCCATTGCAACCGGGGCCACTGCTGCAGACGAAGATGATGACACTGCATGGGATGGTGGCGATGATCAAACCAACGATGTCAATGGAGTTGAGTCTGATTCGAGCAGAATGGGCCTGTTCGAAGCAGAGAAAATGATCTTCAAAGACAATGAGGGTGCTCGTCAAGCCCTTGACAGGTTGCACCTCCATGCGCTGGAGGCTGTAGATGCGAGGGCAGTGCTTGGAAAGCGAGTAGAGCTGTCAAGCTAGCGTTTAGAAAATCTGCAGCTGGAAATAAGATGCTCGACTTGTCCATGTATCTGCATCATACGAACCACGTTGCATCGTTCTAGTCGGCTCGCTATCAAAATCGATCGATTTTGGAAGTTGCGTATGAGCAACCAAAGCTGAGACGTAGCATGTGAGGCTTGAACCTAAGCACTTTGAAATGATTTCCTTTGCGATGCTAGATGCCACATCAATAGATTATAGATTTCATTTACCCGAGCGCCGCATTGAAGTACTATAATGAAGCCAAAGCCATTGCTTCGTATATCGCGCAAAAGGGTAGGGTACCCGCATCCTCTCGAATTCCATTAAAAGTAAAAGCGATCTGGTTGCAACATTGCTCATGCAACCCGCCAGGATAGCCTCAACAACTTTACAGACCTCACACCACACGTACTTACATCCAAAAACAACCCAAACCTTAGATTTCAAGAACACTCATCATGCTCTCAACCTATGACATATCCATTGCCCTTTTCATGAACAACCTGCAACGACTTCGGGTGTATCTCGAGAAAGGCGAACAATGGTGCAAAGATAACAGCCAGCCGGTATGCCTCCTGATAGAAGGCCGAATAATAGAGGATATGAGGCCACTGCCCTTCCAGATCAAGATATGCTGTGACATGGCCAGAATTGCTGCAGAGAAGCTTGGTGGCGCTCAAGACTTCCCTGAATTCGGACCAGACTACGACTTGAAGACGTTCAACGATCTGTATGGCAAGATCGATAGCACGCTTGCAGCGATGAAGGCGTTAGATAGGAAGGCTTTCGATGGGACGGACGTGATGGACATAGAACTCCAGATGCCGACAAGGTTGCTGAAGTTTACCGGCTTGGGGTTACTGCAGACATTTGTCGTGCCTGACTGTAAGTCCTACAATCGGTGAACCAAGATCAGGGTCCGTGATAATGCGCTAACCAGAGACCGTAGTTTATTTCCACGCTGTGACTGCTTATAACATCCTAAGGAAAGCTGGTGTACCTATTGGCAAGATGGACTTTTTAGGAAGGGTAGGCGATGCATAGCGAGTTCCCAGCATCACACAAAGCCAAGCAGAAGCTCACTGGGAAGAGGTCGCTTGCAAATCTCTTGTACTGCGCAACAGCTTAATCAGTGGATTCAATGTTCAAGTATGCGCTTAGTTGACGTCTATGCGACCCTAAAGCACATTGGGCTATGTCCGGTTACTTAGAAGCGACAGTTTATCCGGCGTCCTTTGCACTTTTTGCCAGCGATTCACAATATATATACTGACTCTGCCACGATGAACCCCTTGGCGGATCACATGTATCTTTAGGCTAATCTGAGAACTTGAGAATCATACGTTAGGTTGAAGGTAAGTATATGACAACGTGTTGATATCCGTGAGAGAGTCTCAGGGACGCTGTCCATATCTGATCTTGATGTCTACTGGTAGGTGATGATTGCTAGCCACCATGGCTACTGCTTCGCTTGCTATAGTTGCCATAACACATCGCAACAGCTCAGCATGGGTCGTAGGTGCTTGGTTGCTACTCTTGAGCTCCCAAACATCTCTTTCTGACTGACATGACGTTGTCAGTGTTAGGGGGATATCATCACCGTCTTCTTCAACACCACCCTATAAGGAGAGAGGCGTTGACGCTTGAGTGGCCTTTAGCAACAAGACGGCTTTGATCCTGATCAAGGAAGTCCAAGGTTCCCGCAACAGTTGAAGCTTCTACAACCACCGCCTACATGGACTGCGCTGTAGGAATTAGGCCGGCAGTGATGATAACAAGTGCTTTCCAAAATTTGTCAGAGTACCCTCTGTTGAGATGCCATATTGGGTTAAATTCGAATTGTCATAGGATGTATCCCCTTTCAATGGTAGAGTCCTTGAGACCATATCATGTTAGATAGGACTGATGTTAGGTGCGGGCTTCCCCACTGGCGTCTTCAGAGCAATGCTATCATGTGCGCTTTTCTACTTATATCTCCTCACCTTCTTACACGAGGTATCGTGTTTGTGTCATGTTGGGTGATGGCGGTAACGATCTATTTGTTCCATTTGACAAGACATTCTGGTGATGGCGTTTCATCTGATCCATGTCAGGACCGCAAAGCAAGCAAGCAGCAATACGTTACGATACCGACGTTAAGCGGTCTACTAGAACAGTGGTGGTGATGTAATTCTAGTTGACAGTAGAGCAATGATGGTTTTCGTCATTAGAGCAACGGGTTCAGTAACATAAACAAACAAAATCAGGCATACCTTCGGTCAACACCGATCTGTCAGGGTGTCGGAGTGGTTAACGAGTCAGACTTGAATCCCTTTTCCAGCTATCTGATGCCTTAGGGCGCGCAGGTTCGAATCCTGTCCCTGACGGCCTTTTTGCAATTTTTGCAGCGTTGGCAGTTCGTCAGCTCGATAGCCATCATGACATCGAACAAAGGTCTTTGTACTTTGTTATTGCTACATCAAAGTGGGAGGCGCTTGAAGGTTGGCGGAGGGGAGCAGGAGCTTTGCACAGCGGCGAAGATTGACAGCTTGGCCAAGGAAAGGAAGAGGAAAGGGACAATACGTTTGGAGAGATGGGTGAAATACACCCCTGCTCCTTACATTGTCCACCCTGTCCACGTTTCAACAGTTAGAGATGTGCAAGCCTGTTGGACAGGCCATTGAAGGTTGCTGTTTTCAGACAAAGCAGGATTGAAAGACGCATCCCAATCTGCCGCGCACACATAATGGATAGCTGTCCTTGAGGCCCGGGTGTGAAATCCTTGCATTGTTTCACACTTGTACGCGATGAGAGCCGAACAATCCTCACGCGCGCAACACTTATCTAACAAGTAGAAACGCGGTGAAGTCTGTCGAGTTTGTCTAAAATGACACATCCAATGTTCTCCCACACAGTCTTCACAGTGCATATGTGCTGTACTCGGGACAGTGGCACGCTTTTGGTCTAACAAAACCCCGCGTTCGGTAAATGGTGCCCTAGAGCAGAAGTAGTTGGTGATGTGGTGGCAGTGGAGGTGAAGCCGCGCCGTTTCTCCTCTAGAGTCAATTTGCGACCCTGCAGCCACTGCGCACCCTCCGCGAGCAGATCAGTTGTTCGGCCAAGGAGAGCCAAGATAATGAGGCGCTTGCGTGCCACTTATGTCCGTACTCCTTTAGAAACAAAGGGCACATATCCTACGTGTCTAGAACTGACTTCCTGTTAACTAGATGCTGCGTGTACCCGTACTATAGTTCCTGAAGTTTTGGCTTTCTTTGTCGCTTCTTGACGCGGACTCACCCACATGGTTGCGCGTCCTAGACCGCCGTCGTCTTCTCCTCGCATCGCTTCATAAAGGGAAGGTGGGCACGCGACAGCAGTCAGGGTGGCTTCTCGCGAACGACAATGCTCGGCCGACGCTTGAGGGTGCGCTTCATAGCGCTGCTTCTGATATTTGTCTTGGTGGTATTGTTCTACAGGCGGCAGAGTGATGTAGAGCCGTATCTGGAGAGGGCTGGAAGTATCATTGGAGGGGGGAGTGTCCTGAGGCCTGATGGAAAGGGTAATGTTGAAGATCAGCTGCAGTGAAGCCATGCACACTGAAGCTAACTGCAACACAGAGGAGAGTCCAGCGCCTCCGGTACAAGAACCGCAAAGGCCAGACGAGCTAACGCAAGCAACAACCGATGGGTATCAACCGCCCGCTGCAACAACCATCGAGCCGGTCCAACAGACCTCTGAACAGTCACCTTCACGACAGACGCTATCCGAGTACAATCCAGCCAAACAATGGCTCCCGGTCGAGGCAGAAGATCTTCTCCCCCATGAGCAGGGAGTCGGCCGCGTGACCGTCGAGAAACCTTCAACCACTACACCCAACGCGATTCACTGGACCAAGACTCCTGAGCATTTCAGCTTGTCGTCTACCATACAACTGCCCTCCGGCAGGGCTTCGTCTATGCCCAAGATCCAAAAGGCCAAACTGGGATCAGATAAGCAAAGGTTGGCATTAATCAGGACATCTGCGCAGTGGAATTGGGAAGGCTACAAAGACAGGGCATGGGGCCATGATGAGCTGAGACCCGTCAGTGGTGGACATCATGATGTGTTCAACGCCTGGGGTGCGACGCTTGTTGACAGTCTTGATTCATTGTGGATCATGGGGTTGAAGCAGGAGTTTGATGACGCGGTCAAGGCGGTCGAGAACATCGATTTTACTACAACCCCAAGGGCTGACATTCCTGTGTTTGAAACTACCATCAGATACCTGGGAGGTTTACTTGCGGCTTACGACGTCTCTGGTCAACAGGGAAAGTACCGCATTCTCCTCGATAAGGCAGTGGAGTTAGGCGAGGTGCTGTACTCTGCATTCGACACCCCTAACCGCATGCCGATGACTTACTACTACTGGAAACCGACCTTTTCGTCTCAGCCACACCGTGCTACCAGTCGTGTCGTCCTGGCAGAGCTGGGGTCTCTGTCCCTTGAGTTCACGCGGCTTGCGCAGATATCTGGGGAGCCCAAGTTCTACGATGCAGTGGCCCGCGTAACCGACGCGTTGGCCGAATGGCAGAACAACACACGTACACCCGGCATGTGGCCTACTATCGTTGATGCAAGCGGGTGCGGCAAGCCTGCCCAGATTGTAGGACCAAGCACGTTACAACAGCCATTGCCAGAAGGGGTAGATGGATGGGAAGGTGGCCACAGCATGAATGCAGGCGCACCAGTTCAGCAAGAGAGCAGAAATAGGCAGACGCAGAAGGAAGGCCAGAGGCAGTTGAAGGAAGCTGTTGCTAAGGGTGAAGCTGGTGTGGGAAAGATCATCGGTCACGGCGATCCGATTTTGGAAGGCTCACTTGATGATCCGACGGCAAAGGCAGACCTGATTGGTGCGAGCATGCCGAGGAAGAGGCAAATCGGCAGAGGTGCAGACAACTCGGAAGACTTCACTACGCGACAGCATACCTCACAAACACTGGATGGTAATGATTTATGTCAGAAGCAGGGACTTACCTCAGCATCGTCGCGCGGCACCGAAACATTCACTCTTGGCGGACAAAGCGACAGCACGTATGAGTATCTGCCCAAGGAGTGGATGCTCTTAGGTGGCCAGGTAGAGGCATATCGTGACATGTATCTTGCCTCAGCCGACACTGAGATCAAGAAGCTGATTTTCAAGCCCATGACGCCTGGTAACCACGACATTCTCATATCAGGCGATCTCAAAGTGAGCTATAATTACACCACAGGTGACTACATCGAACGCCTGGTCCCATCTACTGGTCATCTGACTTGTTTCGCCGGCGGAATGTTCGCCCTTGGCGGCGTGCTGTTCGACCGTCCTGAAGACGTCGAGATTGGTAAAAAGCTGACAGATGGCTGTGTCTGGGCTTATAACTCCACAGCAACAGGTATTATGCCTGAGGAGTTCACAGTGATCCCCTGTGAGCGTGCAGATGGCACACCTATAAACGGGATCGAGAAGGGTTGCGTGTGGAACGAGACGAGATACCATGAAGAACTTGACCCGTACCGCGACACGAGGACCAAATATTTCGGTGATATAAGAGCCCCACTGACCAAAGCGCTGGCGGTGACTCAGGCAACGTCTCAAACAACGTCAAGCCCTTCTTTACAGACGCTGCAAGGTTCACGCGACGCGAGTGAGAAGGAGCGAGTTAGAAAACGTCAGCTAGGGGATGCGCTTGCTTTTGAAGAAAAAGTGTCGGAATCCCCAACTCCAGCAGTCGCTCTACCAGCTTCAACTGCAGACGATCGCTATGCACATGAAGGCACAGGTGCAGCAGCCGAGACCACAGCATCGACAAAGGCTTCAGGGACGATGCAAACTCCAGACGCTCCCCAGCCCGCTGCAGCAGCGATATATACCCCTGCTGCACCTCTTTCTCATAAGGATTACGTTACCGAGAAGATCAGCGACGAACGTCTCCCACCAGGCATGACCAAGGTCAATTCCCGCAAATACATCCTCCGCCCTGAAGCTATCGAATCGGTCTTCTACCTCTATCGTATCACTGGCGACGCTCACTGGCGTGATGCAGGCTGGGCAATGTACACATCCATCCAGGACAGGACGAGAGGTGTATACGGTAACACAGCCATCGACGACGTGACCAAATCTTCTCCAGATCAGCTGGATTCGATGGAAAGCTTCTGGCTTGCAGAGACACTTAAGTACTTCTGGCTGTTGTTTGAGGATGAGAGGACGTGGAGTCTAGATGATTGGGTGTTGAACACTGAGGCACATTTCTTCAAGCGGCCGAAATAGAACGGTATTGGAGCGACGTTCCTGCTTGAATTGCATTGGGAGGCGGCGTTACAACTTGGCAGGACCATGTTAAAGGGGCCCATCGGCATTTTCTAGGGATTAAATGTATTCTTCTATAACGCATTGCTTTTTCCAGACCAACCAACCAACCACTGCATGGCATTCTGACCCTGTAGTCTTTTCGTATGCATCCCATGTCTAACCTTCGCAGTCATTCTGATCAGAAAAGGTGGCTGTTGTGGCTGTGCTGTCATCGATACCGTGCCTCTGCGTGGGGCAGGATGGATGCATGCTCCAGCGGTTGGCTATCGACGGCTCTGTGGTGGTCATAACGACTCCGCGGTTGACGCAGTTTCTACTGACCTTGCAGTGTATTTACATGACGGCCAAACCCCTCTCCATTCAATCTTGCGTGCCTTTCACTCTTAGAGGATTGTTCAATCACGCTCTATACGACGATACTTCTGAGTCCGATGCTGGCCTTCCATGCGCCATTACGGCAGTGAGCAGAGCGCCAAGTAGCAAAGCCCCGGGGTGAGTGACGTAACGATTGATACCGCCCGGCTCCAACTTGAACACACTGAAACCTTAGCTGCACAGACTGGCCAAGTCAGAGTAACAGAGCGGACGAATTCAACACGTCTAGGCAGCTTCTGGGACTCCTGTGATCGCACCTTCATCTGCTTCATACTGTCCTGAATACCTACCTCCTCCTAGAACTACACCCATACAATCCCACCGCCCACGATGGGCAGCAGCAAAGAAGTCAAGAAATCCTCACCCTCCACCCCGGAGCCAGGCTCAACGCCGACCACCTCCTCTCCGGCATCCGCCGTCACATCCCGGACCAGCACACCAACACCGGGAGGCAAGGTAGACCAGCAGGTGGCGCCTGATGGCAAGGCTCAGGACGACAGCAGCAAGCTCCGCACTTTCCTTAGCATCCTCAAGAAGTTCATCGGTGTCACCGACATCGCTGCAGTCCGCTTCTCCCTACCAGCCCAGCTACTCGAGCCAATCCCCAATCTCGAGTACTGGCACTACCTCGACCGACCTGAGGCTTTCGTCGCGATCGGTGACAGCAAGGATGAGCTCGGC